CTTTTCATCCTGTTTTATATCATTATTCCTATTTTTTTGGTCGAAATAAGAGGAAACGATTTTTTTCTAAGATTTAAGGTGCAAGTTTCTTTAAAAACTTGATTCTCCATTGATTTTTCAAAAAATGTTCAAACCTTTAGTATAATTGAATTCATAACGTTTGTTGAGATCCTCAATGAGGTATTTTCAAGTCCTATTCCAGTTGGAGTATTATCAACAGTAAAAACACAAGAGCTTTTTTTATCAGATAAATTTCTCTTGGTAACGAAAAACATTTGCCGATCAGTAATTTTGTCTAATGTCAGTTTTTCGAGAAAAATAACTGATGGAAAATGTTTGAGTTAGTAAGAAAATTTATCCAATTAAAAAAAGTTCGAGTGTTTTTTGGGAAGATAAATCAACGGCAATATACAAATAAACAACAATAATGATTACCTTCATTCAAGGATATATACAGGTTGGTTGGAGAGTTATGAGACAATGAAGATATGGACAAAATTGATTAAACATCCTGTATCTCGGTTATAAGAGGTCGTGGACCCATCGACCATGGGTTTTTTGGAATCGCCTCAGTGGCCCCTATCGACAGTTGAATTGTTTACCTTTCCCAATGAAACACCCTGTATAAGAATAGATATTACTATTATATTGTTCATATTATACTGTTTAACTTGGGAGTTTTCTTCACATCACTATTAGTACTATTTTTATACTTTTACACTTTACTATTCTGCCCACGCACAAGTTTAACTTTTGTGGGTCTCCTTTCATTTATTTACCATTTGTTGTATTATATACAGGGGCGTATTTCAATATTCAGCGCCCCGGGCCTGTAGGGTTTGCCGCCCCATAAATCAACGGAGAATGAGCAAAACATTAAATCATGAAATGAAAGCCAGCAGTACATTGGGTTGAGAATGATAATAATGAATGGAAAAAATAAGAAGGCCAAAGAAAGAAATAAACACTATTTATTCGATATTTACATTTTCTTTCGATGGACAGATTGGTTAACAAATTCGTCAATAACACTGATGTCATAATTAATGGAATTTGTCAGTTCAGCTTCTATATTGAGAATAGATAAACTATTCAAACGTTCTTCGCTTAAACGAGAACGTAAATAATTTTTTATTCTTTTAAGTACAGAAAATTACCGTTCTGCACTGCAATTGGTCACCGCAGTGCACAGAAATATTCGTAATGCTATTTCAATATATGGAAATGCTTCCATCAAATCTTTTTGCTTAATAAATAAGCTGAGTTGCCTTAAACTCATTTTATTTTCATGAGACGTCAGGAATTGTTTTAAGAGAACACATTCTTCTTGTAAATCATCCGCCAGATCAATAGGGTAAACTTTTTGGAGTTTTATGGCATTTAATCTCACTTCTGAAGCAGACATTGTATCCAATTTGCATAAAAATGCAAAATTGGCGGTTACCGCCTCATACGAAGTTTTTCGCTTCCTTAACTCGCCCAATAATCGGTCGCATATTGAAAAGAAGGTATTAACCCTGAAATGATCCCGTCCTTGAAACACCACTTCTCCCTCGCTACTCTCATCGTCTCGTTTCTTTCTCTTGACAATTCTATTGTGAATGTTCCGGTACCCTTCTGTGCATTTTCTTTTACCAGCCTTTTCAAAAGTATCAAAAGATTCCCGTTGTTCTTCTACAAAAGTAATGAGTGACTTGTAAAGCCTGGAAACTACTTCTACGTCTGTGTCGACACCTTGTAGTATTTTGGAAACTATACCAAATCGTTTTAATACAGATCCCCAAAATTCCGATAATATGGCAGAGCCATCGGATACAATACCACTGCTCGCAATAAATGACAAATGCTTTGCGCACCCAGAATTTGTTGACTTTGTTTCCCAGGAGTGCATGTGAGTGAGAGGTAAAATTGGAACATCGACATCAAAGGTTCCGACACGGAGTAATCTCGTGCCGCCGACGCTAATTTCTTCGGAGGAATAAAGTAAAAAAAAAACCTAAGCGTGGTGCGGCTTGCGCCGCCCCTCGCAGCCTGCCGCCCCGGGCCATGGCCCTTTTGGCCCTTAGGTAAATACGCCGCTGATTATATATATTGTATACTTAATTTGAAATTTTTGGCAAATAAATATCATTATTGATGATTCCGTGCAATTGGTAGTTTGCGGAATTGATTTTCTCTTATTGTCGTGGTTTCTGCAGACGACATTTTCCTAAAACGGCTCATCTTGCTAATTTACGCGTGAACATGGAGTGACATCTGGCGCAAATAGCTAATAGATCAAAGGAGCAGGCAGTTTATCAGCGATTAAAAAAATTCATAATTTTTTATCGATGTCAAAATGACTACGTCGTCGTCAAATAGCGTTTTTCGTGAAGGAGTTGATTTATCAGTAGTAATACTATAGGTACTTCATAACTTTGAGTTATACATCTCAAACTTCCTGAACAATTACAAATCGTGTCAATTAAACTGAATGATCCTCCCGCTTGCGGTCGAATTATTTCAACTGTTAAACTGACACTCTTTGTAATTGTGCAGAAAGTTTGAGATGTATAACCTTGAAGATTTTGAAGTTCGAATTGTGATAGCTTAACATACGAACAAAATAATCAGTGGTATATATCCACGGGGCAAATACATAAGTTTTTTACAGTAAACCTAGCAGCCAGTAGATTCTTTCCAACTGTTTTACAAAATCTTCTGAAGTGGTCGAGAGCGTGTATGCGCTGAGTTCGTATGGGGACTCCCACCGAGACATAGGTTCGAATCCTAGTTAGGCCATGGATGTTTGTGTATGTATGCTTACCTAACCCCGCACAAGTTTCGACTTATGGGGCGTTTGGTCCCAGTGCTGGGACCAACGAGGTAATGCAATTGCAAAAAAAAAAAAGAATTTGCATTATCCTTTTTATAAAGATATGCACATGATATCAATCTGAATATTCAACAGAAAACAACTACTTTCCTGGCTGTTTGCCACGTCGAATATCTGTTGAACATCCAATAAGAGAGCATTAAATTGAGAATTGACATCATCTCTCAAATCGGATAAAATAATATGATCTATTATGATATAACAATATAACTTACCAATATGTTCAGTATTGAAATGAAAATCGAAATGTATATGAGAAGTATACTTGTATATATTCTGATCTTGATGAGCTTATTGGAACTTCAAAAAAAAATCATTCGTATGACTGATATGGGAATTATATCTCTCACAAACATGTTATAGAGATAGAGATAGAGTTTATTTAACTATGTTACATACAAGTATGTTTATAGCAGGTCAGCAGGGCAAGGGAAAAGTAGCACAGTAAAGTATCAATACTAACATATTAAAATACAATATAGTGGTAATTTTGAAAATGTGATGAAAATAATTAGTATCTGTAATATATATCAAAGAATTACATGACAAGAGTATATGATATGATAAAAAATGACAAGTATCAATAAAATAATTTGAAACAATCACATAAATGAATAGATAAATAATAAGATCAATTAAAAAGTTATAAAAACAATGGCAAACATAAAAGCTATGTTGCCCTATGTAAGTCTAAGCTCTAAGAGATTTCGATTTTTGGAGGTATTCGGATATACTGTAGAAACAATTATCAAGAAGAAATCTTTTGATTGTTGTTTTGAATTTTTTTGGTTCCAGTAGTTTAACAGATTCATGAAGAACATTGTATAGATTGAAATTCAAAGAATTCTGTTGGCTTACAACTAGTCTATGTCTTTGAGGATTCAACAAGTCTGCGGATCTGGTGTTGTAATTATGTATATCCGAGTGCTTTATGAATTTGTTCTTGTTATTATGTATTTCCAGTAGAACTGTGAATATATACAGGGTAGGGAGTGGCATAATACCTAATTTGATGAAGGATTGTTCACAATGATCTCTATACTCAAGATTTGCTAGAATTCTTATAGCCCTTTTCTGTGACCTGAATACCCTATTCGCATTACAAGAGTTGCCCCAAAGAAGAATGCCATAGGATAGGACAGAGTGAAATAGAGAAAAGTACGTTATTTTCAGTACACCAGTATTAGTAACAGGTTTAAGTTGCCTCAATATGAATAAAACACTAGATAACTTACTAAGCACCTGATCTACATGACTGGACCAATTTAATCTATCATCAATTTTTAAACCCAGTAGTGTAATATTATGCCCTTTTTGATACAGAGGATTTGAGGAGACGATCAAGTTTTGAGTTTTGTTCTCGTTTAGTTTGAGTTTATTTCGCGTAAACCAATTTTTTGCAACGTTCTTTTCGAGTTCAGCAGCTACTGGTAGTGCGTCATGCAGCTTACCCGAGCTTATGAGGGTGGTGTCATCAGCAAATAAAACGCATTTTATAGGTTCGATAGACTGACATAAGTCGTTTATGTATACTAGGAACAGAAACGGCCCAAGGACGGATCCTTGAGGTACGCCATGTTCGATATGTTTGAGATCTGATTTCTTGTTGTTTAAATCAACATACTGATACCTATTGTTCAGATAGGAACTGATGAGTTCTAAAATGGTACCTCTCAATCCGTAATGAGCCAATTTGTCAATGAGTATAGTATGTGATACACAGTCAAAAGCCTTGGTCAGGTCGCATAGTGTTAAGGAAGTATGTCTGCCCTGATCAAGGCCCTCAACTATGTCGGCCACTATGTTGAAAACTGCCTGAGTGGTGGATTTGTTCTTACGAAAACCATATTGTGATTTACTGAAAAAAAAACTATTTTCAAAGTAAGAATAAAGACGTTCTTTCAGAATTATTTCAATAATTTTTCCTATGATCCACTCGAATGAATTCATTCCTGATATCAAATCCTCATCAGTAACCTGAAGTCCAGTTATTCTAATACTAATAACTAAAACAATAACGATCTGACATCTGAGAATTATGATTTTTTGACATTCACTTGTCAACTGGGCATTTGTTTTTGGATGTATAATAAAAAAAATATATCAACGAATTCTCTTATTTTTCAGTGGTCATGCACAAAGATAAGGACGATGCAGCTGGTCTACATCGATCCAGAGATCTCACGGCTTTTGATCATACTCCTTTAGATGGAGAAATGTTTCTACAGGTAAGAATATTGAAACTCGCCCTCACGCTGAACGTCATTTATTTATTGAACAAATAACTAAACTTCCAATTTTTTTAATTGACTCGGCCGTTACTTGATAGAAATCCATGGCAAATGGAAATACTCCACAGACGATAAGATTTCCACAAAATTCTTAAGAGGAGAGTTTCAACCAAATCGACATGCAGGCCTGCACTAGTTGTTGCTTTTTGGGCTTATGAATGATTCAATTGAAAAACTGATTAAATCATCGTAAAGAAGAAGGTTGGGACTAGGGCCTGGTTATCATACGGAGTCGAAACTCATTCATTTATAGAAGATACAGATTTTTGAAAAACGTAAACATTGAAAAATTTTTGTCTCAAATTGAAATATTTTCGCTAACACAGTAGCTTCGTCAGGTGACATACTGGTACAATGAAATAAACCAACCTTGGCTTGCTTAACATTTATATATCCTACTTTCCCAACTTGAAGGATTAGTTACCTCTGGACAGGTTCGATAAACCTTCATTTTCGGAAATTATAGGCACAATATCTACATTAAAATACGGTGTACCGGATTAACTTGAAAGGGTTGATAAAAAATACATATTACTACTAAGAAACAAATTCAACAGTGATGAACTATTGAGGTCTAATTGATCGTTAATTGAAATGTCAGAATTTTTGAGTTTGTTGATTTCTGATGATCCATATATAGTGAATGAGTTTCATTTCTTTATTTTCTACGTGTAGAATTTCGAAATTATCATCAAAACTATGGTTTTCTTCTAATATAAGGTGGCGTATGTTGAATTTGTTTTCTTCCTCAAAAAATTCATCTTATGTTCATGAATGGTATAAGAAAGTTCATAATTATATACCTATAGGTACAGATCTCATCATTCAAAATATATCAACAACAACTATAAATTGTCAAGAAAAGAATAATATTTGTGAAAAAACATAGTGAAATAACATGACAAATTTCATCTAGTGCGCTCAGAAATAATCAGTTTTTTCAATTTATTTCTGAATGTACATATATTTCTGCAGTTTTTGATATTGGCGTAGTTTATTTGATTCAGTTAAGGCTGAACGAGAGAATATTTTTCGTCCGAGTATAGAGCTATAGCATCGTCAAGATGAAACAAGTTATATTGTCTAGTTTTATCATTATGAATTTCAGAGTTCCGTATGAATATAATATTCGACTTCAATTTTTCATTAATGATATTATATAAATTTTCAAGAATTTCGATTCTATATATTTCATCTAAAGAATACATATTTGTTATTTCATACAATTGATTGGTTGGTGTAAATGTTGTATCAAATGGGAGACGATACAGTACTTTTAACGATTTTCTCTATATTGTTGATATTTTATTGAAATTATTTTTTGAACAAGATCCCCAAACATTCATCAAATAATTGATACGACTCAGTATATGAGAGTAGAGAATCATGTTTGCAATTTTAATGACAAGTTTGGGATATCTTCTAAATGCACCAATAATTGGAGACAAAACATCAATATGTTCGTCCCACTTCAACCTGTCATCAAACCAAATATCAAGATATTTTATCTGCTCAGTTTATCTCAAAGTTGAATTTTTTTGTTTATTTTTTGGTGTAAAATTATATATTCTGTTTTATTAGTATTTATCGCTAAATCGTATGTATATATACATAGTATATTTATTCGCTAGACCAATTTCACTCATATTTTGAACCTAAAGTGAATATAGTATATGTCTCAAATAAAATAGAGCCTTGTGGAACACCCTGATCAATTTATATGAATATCAGTTCGTGAGAAATAATAGTTGCTATAGGATAACTAGGACTACTGAAATGGGGCACTTGTTTTCGATGAAAGTTCATCAAATTCCTTCTCTACTGTTTCTGAAATCCTATAAAGAATCCAAAAAATATCATTTAACTATGTGAGTATACCTAGATAATATAACAATAGAGTCTCATTGCGATGAATACAGAATTTCTGAATACCTAAACATACAGGGTGGGACTCGGTCGATGGTACCTAAGACGTTCACAAAGAACGGCACGTAGGATAATAATTCTCAAGTCTTGGTCTATCGATTTAAAATATTTTCAGCAATGCTACGTTGCGCCGCTTATACCAGAAAGTAGTAGCAACTTTGATATTCCAAATGGAACACCCTGTATTGCATTTCCAGATTCTCCCTGAAGAGCTGATATAATCAATTTATCACGCTTGGGGTCTAGTGAGAATGATTACAGAAATATGGGGTGTTCAAAATCGAGATTTTTCAACTTTTGGATTTTTTTGTGTTTCAAAACGGCTGTCATGTTCCTATCTCAACTTTCGATTTGCTATCTACTGACATTTAATTGGAACCAATACAGGGTCGTTCAAGATTCAGAATTCTGATCACCATGCCACGTCACAATCGCTCTATATAAAATCATGTTTTATTATAACTTTGTGTGATCCTAGCAAATCACCAATGACGTTAACAGAATGGTGAAGGAGCCAGAACTGATTCTTTGAATTATTTTTCGAACCTATGGAAGATATCAAAAATACGTATGCAATGATTATTCATTAACTTCACGAAAAAAATCTGGATATTGGAAACCTCTCAAATATCAGCAACAAAGCAGCTTCACAAAAATCATCATATATACACATATAGGACGAATTCTTCTTGACATAGCTCGCTCAAAAAATTTCCTCTCGAATTTCTGCCTATATTCAATGAGAACTTTCAGAAACCTGCATAACCTTTACATTCCAAATTGAAGTGATGATCGTGATCTTTGATTAATTCACTTAAGCATAGATTAACAGTCTATGACTTGACTTAAGTGAATCGTGTAAGTATCGTTTTATGGACCACTGTCTAAAATATGATGAATGCGCTGCTCCGCCGCCAAAATTCTAAAATTTATATTCGACTGAAATTTTACTTCCTGTAAAGCCATGGTAATCATGTATTCAAATATAGATATGAGTTATTCGAATTGTTTAACATTGTCACTTGAAATACACATCCTGTATTAGGTTTTTAGATTAATATAATTAATTTATTTACAGGCACTCAATGGATTCCTTATGATATTAACATGTGATGGAGAAGTATTCTTCGCGACTCATAGTATAGAAGGTTATTTAGGATTTCATCAGGTAAGAGACTTCCACATCAGTTTGGGTAGCACATTTTTTCTTGTTGCCACCAGTGGCGTTCGTGTGGAATTTCACATACCTATTTTGGCAGACATTGATGGTACGCCACTGATTAATCCCGAGATTGAAATCATTCCTAGATTCTCAATCATTTCTAAGCAAACTTGATCTGTACAATTTTTTCAATCAGATGCACGGTATTCGCTCAAAAAAAAATTAGAACCTTTAAACTGCATGATCATAACAATATCGTTAATAACATGACAATATCACAATGCAGAGAAATATTTATTTTAAAAGTAACGAATCGTGATTCGGACTGAAACAATTGAAGAGATCAAATCAAGTGGTATCACAGATATTTATAAAAAAACTATTTATTTTTTGGAATTCTACCACCCTGTATCTCAAAATTTAAGACGTTTAGGTCATACGTTTATATGAAAGGACCCCGCACGAAAACACGGGAAATTCGCTCTCGGTCGAATTGGCTGAAATTTTACTATGTTGTTGTGGGATGGCTCATTAGAAGAATATGTGAGTTTTAAAAGTTTTGTATGTTTAGTTTCTTAGATATAAGCCGACAAAGTTCGTAAAAACGTCTTATCAGGATCAGGGTAGGATTGACAAAGAAAAAAAACTGTTTTCTAGTATAAATAAGACAAAATAAGCTAGAAAATGTATTGATCGAAACTCAAATACATGTCTAGTTATGATCACATGAATTATAGTAAATCAGGCTGTATACGAGGCACGGTCAAAAAATTCATTTTTCGGAAAAAAAAAATTCGAGCACTATTCCAAAACCAACAAGTTATATTTTGGTGGGACATTATAGTTTTAGTCTATTGTAGGCTTCGAAAACGTATTTTGATTCTTGATAACTATCTCTGTTCGAAATATGAATTTTTAGAATTTTGTGTTACACCCCTTTTTGAAAACAATTATTGACAGCTTGTTTTTGATCACAAAGAGAGGGATTTCAGCTGTTCAATATTGCCTTTCATTTAGATACAGGGTGTGTTAGATTTTGTTGAAGACTATTTAACATGTTTCAATTGAATATCTCGAAAACAGTTCCGTTAATTTGGATCTCATTTTACTGACACTATTTTGAATATGTTGACTATCATATGCAAAAAGTTTTTCAATTTTATATGTTTCGTTTCTGAGATATCAATTTTTTAGTTCACAGTATTACAGGTATTATAGGGTTATTACCTCGGATGTCACTATATCGATTCAACAGAACTTTACGGAATCTTTCAAACATTCAATTACATTATGAAACTATTAGAATCAATAATAGCCTCCTCGAATATTGACATTCAATTAGGAAACACCCTGTATATCATTTCGTTATCAGATGACGGTCAAAATTTGCAGCAGGCTCTCCTATTATTATAATATTGATTGTGAATCAAATGTAAATCATGATTCATAGATTGAAGATGGTTTGGACGGATTTTATCCCTCAGTGGTCTTCCACATTCTAGACATCTAGACACTTGACATTTTTTTCTGTAGAAGTCAATACTCAAAGTTGAGTTGAATGATCAAGAAAAAAAACTCGAAGTCGTCTCCACAAGTTCAATGTTAGATAGATGCAGTCAATCCTACTTCAATAAGGTTTCTGAAGAGATTTTCTTCGGCTACCGATGACGAAGTTTATGATTTCAAAATTACCTATTTTAATTTCCATTAAATTTCACAATTATTAATTATGTATTATTGAGGTAAACTATTTCCACATACCCTTTCACAGAAAATAAAATTCGTTTGAAACTACAAAATTTTTGTAAATTCAACAAAATCTGAGTGTCATATATCCACGACAAAATATTTTGTCACCGCAACAAATGGTTTTTGTCAGTTTTCAATTCAAAATTCATTTGATGTAACTTATTTATGATTCAAATTAACAGCAGGAATTGGTTCAATGAACAAAAACTATTTTGTTCCTATAATACAATATCTGCTCTTATGGATTCAGTTGATTGAAATGATTACATCATTTCATCCAAGTGACAAAATTTTCAGTTTTTCAGAGAGTGAATATGTTAAAATAACAAAATATATTGTTCGATCAACCAAATTGTATTTAGAATTGACGAAATATTTTACTGAATAATATTTTAAAAAATCCAATAACTGAATTTCAAGACTAAGAGATCAATTTCCTCAGTTGATTCAAGACTATTAGCTTGAATAGGCGTCATAAGAAATCCTAGGACAGTCTAATGAAATTATATAAACGGATGTTTTAGGTAGATATATGTACACCCCAATCGAGGCGAGCGTAGGAAGGTTGAAAGAAACGCCACCTGGTGGCAAAAATGCAACTAGATAATCATTCAACAAAATATTTGTTTGATATAATGTATTTGTGGGTTCTTTTCAACAAAGTACCTAGTTTGATTGAAATAACAACATATTTTTTGATAGTGATGTGTTGAATCAACAAAATATAATGTTGTCATAATCAATTCAATTTTGTCGAATTGAAAAAAACCTTTGATTGGTTGCACAATGAAATGATTGTTGACTCAACAAAATACGATGTTGTATTTAGTTAAATCTTTGTCAAAATCAATTTAATTTTGTCGAATAGACGAAATGCATATGATTGATTGAACAATGAGATGATAGTTGGATCAACAAAATTTATTTTATGTCAACTATAAATGTAGTTGAATGAAATGAAACTTTTGTTCAAGTAAGCAAATATTTCAATCAAATTATTTTGTCTCTTTGAATAGGTTGCTCATTTGAAATGAACATATATTTTGTTGATTTCGCAAAATTGTGTTTCATTTAACAAAAAAAAATGACCAAAATTATTTTGTTGGTGCAACAAAACTTTTTTTCCGTGATGAACCAATTTGACTGAAGATGACCATTTGAATGGCCGAAACATGTCCCTTTGAAACCTTAATGAAGCAGGATTGACAGCATCTATTCAACATCAAGCTTGTGGAGACGACTTCGAGTTTTCTTTCTTGACTTCTTTTGAAATACTAAACTGAGTTATCTGAATTTTTACATAGAATCCAACATCGAAGAACCTGTCAAAAAAAGGTTTCCCCAAAAAAGCCCTTCATTCAGTAATTATTCTGTTTCAGTCTGACATCGTTCACCAATCGGTGTACGAGCTGGTCCATTCCGAAGACAGGGAGGAACTGCAAAGGCAGCTGATGTGGAATTCGTTTCTTCCCCCCGAGTCAGCCAATATGGGTCTTCAAGACGTTCTCCAAGCGGAAAATTGCCATTTGCTAGAACGGAGTTTTACGGTGCGCTTCCGATGTCTCCTAGACAATACTTCCGGCTTTCTGGTAAGAAATAATTATTGAACTTTGTATAGTCGTTGAGTCGAATATTTAGCGTGCAATTTACACTCAACGGCAAGAAAAACCGGCCAGCAAAAAAGTTTGCCAAGATTGATCGCCCTGTAACTTTTCAAATTCTTGTTCGATTTTGGTGAAATGCCGACCTGATTGTAGATTCATGATTAGAAATGTTAACCTGAATTTTACTTCTCGAAAGAAGCCGATATTTAGCTCATTATGCAGGCAAAAACAAAAGTTACTTTACGCTCAATTTGTTAACGCCCCGTGGCAAAAGTCAGTGATTAAACTCACCTTCATGATGTTTGGATTGATGTGTGACCCCTTCTTAATACAATGGTTCTTGATTCACGGCAATATCTTCTTTATAAGAGAAGATACAAGTGTTTCGAGCAAATATAGATTTATTAAATTTACAGAACCTACATGAACTCGTCGATTACCCTGTTGAAAAAACATAAATAACTTCAACAATTATAGAATACCAGGTGACCAAAATGTATTTGCAACCAACATTGCACAGTTGGTAAATGAATAACTGGATATTAACAGCTGCTATAAAAATAAAACATATAGGCATATGTGATATTTTGCATTTGGAAATGCATCATGAAATTGTTCCCGTCAGCTTTGAAGTGAATATGTACGTTCCATTAGGATTACGAGTACCACTTCTGAAATTTGCCATCAGTAAGAATGCATCCATTCCACCAGAAAAAAAAACATGTTCAATCCTGAAAGCAAAATAAGGATATGAACAATAAAAACAAGAGGTTAATTATTGGTCTTACCTTTTCACAACAATGAATTGGAGATGTAGTTTTGATAAAAACTGTTTTTCGCAAAGTAATAATTGTGAGTGAAATAATCGAATGTTAGAACAATTAAATAAAATCAAGAATCAAATAAACTACCAACAAACCCAGGAGAAAAGACAACATAGCGCTACTGTACTGGGTGCTAATGAGCTACAGCTGTGCAGTATAAATTTCGAAAATTGAAGAGACTGAACGTAAACACTGGAAACTATACAGCCATGAATGATCCAAGGTGCAAATATGACATATATGATGATGTTACCTGAGTAAACATGATAACAAAAATGTATTGTTAGTTGCATAAGAATATGGTCACGTGGTGTTTAATCATTGTTGAAGACCCGGTATTAACAGATATATTGGTTTCAGTTATTTCCACCTATTTGTTCAATCTATAAATTAAACATGAAAATACGCGATGTTTTATTGCGAACACAGTGATATAGAGTTGCCCGAAAAAAGTCTGTCCTGAATGACGGTAGTCGAATTTCGAAAAATAAAAGTTAAGTGCGACTGTGAACGTGCGACAAAGTGTCCGAGAAAAATGTCCTGTGTGATAGACGAAGACAGAGTTGAAGTTGCGCGCAATTGCAAGATGTAAGAGAGTGCGCATAATAGTAGTTCCAAAACATGATGAAACAGATAAGGTTGAAGAATGATTCTACATTATTGTTAATGAAAATTGTAACATGTCATACTTTCTCAAAACACCTTTATCTCTCCTCAAAAAGAAGCTGATGACGTGACGAATCATGATGAAGCTAGCGAGGAAACATGATAACTTACCTTCGCCACAGAACGTTAAGAAGTTAAGGGTGAAAGTGTTACTTCTGTTCTTTCCTGTATAATAATCAAGCCATCAGCTAACACTTTAAAATATTAATCGACTACTTGGTCAAATGTTCACTAGAATCGGGCAAGAATTAAAAAGGCGACAGCGATCAATTTTTTGCTGGCCGATTTTTTTTCCCGGTGAGTGTATTATCAAAATGCGTACGGTCGTCAATAATAAGTGACTCATCCTGTGAATTATTTGATTTTTAGCGATTAGACATCCGAGGGCGAGTCAAGGTACTCCACGGACAAAACCGAAAATCCGAAGAACCTCCTTTAGGACTATTCGCCATTTGTACTCCCTTCGGGCCTCCATCACTTCTCGAAATTCCCCAGAAAGAAGTTATGTTCAAGAGCAAACACAAACTGGACCTAGCACTAGTCTCGATGGATCAAAGGTACGTAAATTCTTGTCACTCTTGAATATATTTAGTTACTCTGAAACGTCTTGAATATACGTAACAAATCTTCAGCCAACATGACTGTTTGAATTCAATATTTTCTGCGTTCACCTAGGAGACACAAATCGCAGAGTAGGCTTGAAAACAAGCGAATATCTTGACCAGCACCTTATCACAGTTTAGTAAGCCTTGAACTGTGACCTTGTTTTGTTTATCGAATCACGTCTGTCACTTATCAACTTTCCGCTTGTCATCTGTCATGGCAATCACTGCTTCGCTCATTTGTCATAAAGTGACTTTATAAAACAGAGTTGCGACAATTAATAGTATGAAAGTACTTCATTTTTGATGGGTCAGATCTCTAATATGGAGGTGCATCCGCCTGTCTCATTTTTTCTAGAGTGAGTATATATTCAATAGAATGTCAGAGTGGCGACAATAGACCTCAAGATGGCTGCCGTTTCCGGAATGTCATTCTGTTGGATTTAATAGAAATATCCTAGTAGCGAATTAAAGAAGTGACGCCACTGCTTGGTGTGTATGAAATGGTATGAATATGCATTCTGTTCTGGATCCGTATGCCAAACTGTTCGATGCTCACTCCTCAGATATCTATCAATAAAACAAGTAGTTCGAACCGTCTGAAGTTGTTTTTATTAAGTACCTAAATGTCCCAATAACCATAATACATTCGTGGTCCAGTCACTGAATAGCTGAAAATCAAAAGAGTATCTCACATGCACTAATGAGTTTGCGCCTTCGAAGTGCCTACTTGATGTTAGGTTTAGATATCTGATATTTTCATCTCATTATCTAAACAATCTGAGTCCCAAAAGACGGATTCATATCCAAGGTATCGACGCATAGAGTAGCATGTCTGATTGTTGGACGTTTTGTGTCCAAAGAGCGAGAAACAGTGACGGAGCGTTGACAAAGTGAAATAGAATGCATAGAACTGAATGGAGAAAGCAAGACAGGCGGATGAACCTCCATATTAGATGTCGAACCAATCAAAAAGTGCATCACTATTGTCGCCACTCTATTTCATGAAGTCACTCTAGTTTTCTCCATTCGCTCTTTGGTCACAAAACATCCAACAATCAGATATGGAACTCTTTACGTCAATACCTTGGATATTAACTATTAGAATCTGCCTTTTGGTACTCGTAAGTCTCAGATGAAATGGAAATATCAAATATCTGAACCTAACATCAGGTGGGCCCTTTGAAGGCGCAAATTCATTACTGCATGTGAGATACCCTTCAGATTTTTATTCTATTGTTTATTGTCGCCACTCTATTCAATCTACTCGCTCTTTTTGTCATATCACTAATAATAAACGAATATTCATAACAGCAATAACATGTATTTTTCTTTCAGGGGAAAAATGTTATTAGGATACTCAGATTCGGAACTGGCCAGTATGGGTGGATACGACTTGGTTCACTATGATGATTTAGCCTACGTTGCCAGTGCTCATCAAGAATGTAAGTGTTTTGACAGTCACATATCGAATGAAATATTCATAAACTATTTTTCAGTATTGAAAACTGGGGCTTCTGGTATGATAGCATATCGATTTCAAACCAAAGACGGACAATGGCAGTGGCTGCAAACCAGTTCGAGGCTAGTGTACAAAAATTCCAAACCCGATTTCGTCATCAGTACCCACCGACCACTCATGTAAGTATATTGGTGTGTTGTTATAATATGATCCATACGACTCTAGCCAAATTTTGTTCAAGAAACTATACAGCTGTAAAGGCCGTATCTCACGGTCCAACAATTTGATAAAATTTGTTATGTGACGTCATTCTTGCCTGTTCGACTCAAATGGTTAGAAATGTCAAGAAATCTCTGTCACACGATTTGAAGATTTTTGAACGAAAATATTGGTCGAGTAGGTTTTTCAAAATGGGAAAAATCACCAGGAAAAATGAATTAAAATTTATTATATACTATTTTGTGCTGTATTTGTAATACAGAGAGTGATTTGAAAAAGAGAGGGATATATGAACAAGATAATGGCTTCAAAGAAGCTTTTTATTAATCCATATATTTGCATGAGTTTATAACTGCAGAAATGAGGCGAGATCATAACCAAGTCCCTAGTCAACCTAACAAGACAAAATAACAAAAATATTTCTATAGTTATCCGAAATGGTCCTCAGTCCAATTACCAGTACCAGCAGGCATTCTTGAAGTGGAGACAATATTACTCAAAGTATTTCTTATCAATTCCTATGATATAAAATAACGATAAATGATGAAAACATGTATACAATAGTTCCAGGTTGGTCTCCTGACGCGTAGCGGAGGGAGACAAAAAACCGTAAGCAAAAATCTAATATTTTTCCCGTGTATAATACACTATTTTTTTCTGTGGCAGAAGAAAGGACGAATCAATATTGAGAAGATATTACATTATTTTGAAATCTAAAAATTATCGACGTGAAATTTTAAGTTTTTAACAGTAGGGACACCTGCGTTGTAGGCATCTTTATCATTCTTTTGAAGTAATCAAATACCTGATGTCACTTCTGTCAGTCTAATTCTGTGATTTTATTTAAAAAAATTGCGAATTTAGTGGTTGTTTAGTAATATACGTAACCGCGAAGTCTAATGGAAGATAAAAGGACTTGCAGTTCTTTCTCGGAGACGGTATTATTGACTCATTTTTCGGAACTATAGCACAACAAAAGCCATCAACAGTGTACCCACTTTTTTCCACGGGAAAAAAGTAATTTATGAAAAGTGACATTTTACAACCTGCCAACAGAGATGAAATGACAAACTTTTTTCCTGTCACAGAAAAAACATTATTATTTTATCCAACATACGTGACGTCATTGATGACATCGCAGATCTGTAGTTTGATCAAATTGTTGGACCGTGAGACATAGTCTTTAGAGTATCCAGCCGCAATTCTTAATAATTATCACTCGATTGCTTGGAAGTTACTCCGCCTCGCTTTGTTACTCAAATACATTCGAGTACGGCAAAGTAGTACTCTCTGCTCAGTTGGATACATAACTCAATTATCAAGACATATCATCATAAAAACACATAAATAAGTGAACTAATTATTTTCAGGGAAGAGGAAGGTCGCGACTTGCTAGGCAAACGCACCATGGACTTCAAAGTCAGCTACCTGGACGCCGGTCTTCCCAACAACTACTTCTCCGAAACGGACCACCTCCTGTCCACCTCCAACGCTCCCTCCTCCACAAACAACATCTCCTCCACCCCCACCAGGGTCAACAGACGCTACAAAACCCAACTGCGCGACTTCCTCTCCACCTGCCGTACCAAACGCAAACTATCACACAGTTCCTCCAGCGGCCAGGTCACTCCTCCAGCAGTGGTCCCTCCTCCCATGCCCACAGTGGAGTATATCGCCTCCGAACCCTCCTACAATATGTACAGCTCCCCCTATCCACCGCCTACGGATCACACTCTCTCCTATATGACCCACTCGAGTTTCCAGCCGTCGCTGTATCCAACGCCTCCTGCGCTGGAAAATCGCTATTTGGCCACCACGGAGAACATTTTCCACCAGTACCGGCCCTATTACCCCGATTACCACGCCACTTCCGGTCCCTATAACGGGTTTTTGGACCCTCAAGCCGCCTACAGGGCGACGGTGGAGGAGAAGATCTACCCTTGCCAGCAGCCTACTTATGTGGTGCCTAATGCCGCCGTGCCTTCTTGGCCCTATTCGGTCAGCCCATCGTCAGGGATCATCCAGCCTGTGCAGGTGAGAGATGGCTGCTTATGATTTGTCGGAACGTATTTCATCAGAATCGTATTGTTTCGGAATGTATTCGATCAGAATGGTATTTCACCTCTATCGTTATTTTACGCAGCAGTGATTCATCGAAATGTGAAAATATTCCAAGTTATAACTCGGAATTTTGAAATTCCGAGATATAAGTCGGAACTTTGATGTGAAATTCTGAGCTATAACTCGGGATTTTGGATGTAAAGTTTCGAGATGTCACGATTTTAAAATTCCGAGTTGTAATTTTGGAGAGTTTTTTTTCTTTATTTTATGTGTCCCTTCCAGGGCTTCGTAGAAACATCATGATGTTATCCAAAAACTGAAAGAATTTACTCTGTAGCAACGTACAACAGCATACCGTATTCAATCAAAATGAAATTTTATCAGACTCTTATCCTGACGGAACGGTATATATCAACTAAACCACATTCTATCAGAAAGACAACTCATCAGAACCATATTTTGTTGCGACAATAATCCGTCAAAATCGTATTTCGTCGAAATGGATTATCCAGCCCATGCAGGTGAGAGACGGCTGCTTATGATTTGTCGGAACGTATTTCATCAGAATCGTATACTGTTTCGGAATACATTCGATCAGGATGGTATTCTAACAGAATCGTTATTTAACGGAGCAGTGATTCATCGGAATGTGAAACATTATGATGTTATCCATAAACTGAAGGAATTCACTCTGTAGCAACATGGAATTTTATCTCGTATTCTGACGGAACGGTATATCGAAACCAGAATATTCTATCAGAAAGACAACTCATTAGAACCATATTTTGTCGCGACAATAATTTGTCGGAATCGTAATTTGTCGAAATGGGATATATCCTAACTTTAAATCATTGTCATGGTAAATAACCAGAACTGTAATTCGTCGAAATTATATTTTGTCAGAACTGTATATTATCAGGACAGTGGAACATAATAATTTCATACTATATAACGTAATTCTACTGGTTCTGGTGGGGGACGTTTGCACGTCAGCAACCAGTCCCTAATGGGACCTTTTTGCAAGCCCCAAGGTGTTTTTAAAGAGTGATGTGGTTTGCCTCAGAGAGCTGGCTAACATCCTTTTCAGGCACCGCCCATCAGCTCTCTTTCAGATTTTTTTCGGCTGTGTTTTGTCGGCTAGTAATGTACTCTATACCATATGCTGCAGTGGCAGGCCTGCTAGCTATTCTCGTTCACCCCCGTTAGAGACCGAGGTCCACTAAGTAGCATTGGCCCGCTCTCACGCTCAGCTGGTAGTTTTCCACACCCAGCTACATACACCGTCCTACTTCTTCTCTGATGCTCACAACCGCATCATCATCTCTTTCTGTGTGTTCTGCATAGGCTTCGTTACTAACTCCATGTGCCACTTTAGGAGCAGCTCTTCCACTGCGCCAATCCCGACCCCAACGTAACTGTGAGTCTTTATTAACTGTATTTCATGGGAACCGTGATTCATATAGAAACAGTATATATTGTAATAGATCGGTATTTCGTCAGAATGGTACTCTACTCGAAATCATAAAGACTCACAATCGATATTGTAATAAAGTTTTCTGTAACATTTCCGATTGAATAGAAATCACTGTCGTCATGAAATACGGTTTCGATGAATGAGTGTTCCAATGGAATACAGCTGTGATTGAATACGGTTCTGATAGAATACGGTTTCGATGAAATACGATTCTGATTCACTACACTGTTTTACCACTAACCAAACCGATTTTTTAAACGCCTCGACACGTGTTTCGCTAACTATGTCAGCATCTTCAGGAGAAGATTAAAACTCACTTTGAAAAAATCGGTTTGATTAGTGGTAAAACAGTGTAATGTATTATCGTACCAAAGGTTTCAGTCTTCGATATATCACGATTCTGATAAAATACTGTTTCGATGGAATACGGTTCTGATAAAATACTATCGCTATGACGAATAATGTCTCGATGGAATGAAGTTCCTATAAAATTCAGTTTTGATAAAATACGATTAAATTATTTTCGATCAATTACATTCCTTTTCAACTACAAATCCGATGAAATATATCCATTAGGATTATATTCCTATACTTAATATTTCCGACGTTTCAGGTGTCTCCGCAAGTGACGGATTTGGGCAAAGCGAAGCTGGACGGGGGACTGGTTGCTCCCAAGATGGAGGAGGTCAAGGCGGACCCCAGCGGCCCCACGACCCCACAGCACTTCTCCCCCGTGCCTGAAATCCCCAGGCAGACGGTACTGATGTGGGGCTCCAACCAGGCGCACTGTCTGAACTCCAGCATAGTCGAACGGTGCCCTGCCGAATCCCACCACGGATACTCGTCGGAGGGGTGTTTGGCGGAGATTTCCGATCCGGGGATGTGCAAGTGGGGCGGTGGGGGCGAGGATAGCAAGTCGGAGGGGGTGGTGAATCAGAGCAGCGACGATTCGGAGAGTCCGCACCATCACGCTAATAACCACCATAGCCATCATAATTCGAGGGTGGTGATGGTGCTATGATGAACGTGGATCGCTGGTGCTGACCAGTTTTGTATATAATATTTAGGCGTGGTTTTTTCGCGACTACAATGAGTTTTTGTGAAATTCGTTGGGGTTGACGATTGGGAAAAAATGAATGTTCTACCACAGTCGATGTTTCGTCATTCATTAGGATGATTAGGACATATTTAGACTCGGAATGGGGGGTTTCAGTTGAAATTTGTGTCGAACTGAAACGCTATGAATCATGATGGCAAGAGAAAAGAATCAGAAATGAAAGCAAAACCTGACCGACTCGTAGTGTTCGGAAAACTGTTCAACTATGCATTATGATTGATGCTTTTGTGAATAGCTTGGCAGTCTTGAAGGCTTGATTTGAATAGATCCGGCTCGAAGGACCAATATGTTCGAGGACCAACACCTTCACGCATACTATTCGGAGGGGTGTTTGGCGGAGATTTATGTATCTGGGGATATGCAAGTGGGGGATCGAGAACGGAAAAGATAGCAAGTTGAAGGGGGTAGTAAGTTATTAGAGCAGCGACGATTCGGAGATTCCTCAGTATCACTCCAACAACCAGCACAGCCATCATAATTCGAGGGTGGTGATGGTGCTATGGTGACCATTTTTTATATAATATACTTAGGCGTGGATTTTTCGTGACTTCGCTCACGGTGATCGAAGTTTGACTACTTATATTTACAATGTGCTTTTGAAAAAATTGTGGATAGGGATTAAGAGCAAAAAAGGAATGTTTTTTCACAGTCGATGTTGCTTCATTCGTTAGGATGATGAAAACATATTCAGCCACTGGGTTTCTGTTATAATTCGTGTCGAAACTATCCCAAAATCAAAAACTCGAAAACCTGACTAGCTCGTAGTGGCAGGAAATCTCTCCAACCATACTTTATGATACATTCTTCTTCGAAAAAATTTGAGTGCACGATACATTTGTGGGATATATTAAAAGAATAACTAGTTCATCAACCAGGTGCACTGTTTGAATTCAAACATCGATCTCTTCACTGCCGAACACCTCCACGGATACTTTTCGAAAGGATGCGAACCCTCAAGTTCCGATTTTTCAGCTGAACATCCTTCATATTGGTCACTATGTTTCGTGAAAATGCCAGCTATTCTGGTTTTTCGTTATTTTTTCTCATCATACCCCACATGAAACTGATATTTGATGTGTCCCTCAATGTATTCTATTTTTGTATTCATTGAGTCCTGGTAATGTATGAAAGGTCGACTGTGATACTGATTCAGTTTTTTATTATTCTTGTGACTTCAACCCCAATAAATTGTATAAAAATCTTACATAATTTGGAATTGTCGCTTATCGATCGAATAGACACTTAACTTGGGAAATTCCGATCGTGATTAATGAATTCCTGTTTTGTTTAAAGGAAACCTGATTTTTAACAGTCCTCAACAATGGCATTACCAGGTGGTCACGAAATTTCATTATATTCCTGAGGTGGAAATTTCCATATAGAGGAAAAAATAAGAACTATTGAGTGGAAAAAATGTATCTACATCTCTACCACTTTGCTGTTATTTCCAAACCATCATATTTTTATGATTTTTTCACATAGGCGTTTACAAATTCAGATTCGTGATAATTCTCAGTTAGGTTGTCGAAGGTGATTCTTGAGCAGATCGTGCATCAACTATATGAGAGAAGAAAATCATGACATATCTAAGTGAACACACATTTTTTGAGTCAAAACCAAAACAAACCTATTCTTATGCTCTCCTTGGAACTTCAATAAGTCCTATTGGCGAGCATCTAATTCGAAATCCATGAAGAATATCACAAAATAATTATCATATTGTGATTATTCTCATTTATACAAGGTGTTTCCGAAATTCCAGCGTTCAAAACAGAAGGCAGTAAAATATATTAACCAAATAACATTTTACAAAAAAAATTTGCACACTTACACTTCCGTTACTTCAAACTATTGGACGTCAGGCGACATTGCCAAAGTCACTGATATCTGCAAATCGAACGCTCGGGTACGGCTGATGAATGATTCACAAAATTTTAAGCCAATTCAACATCTTCCAAAATATTTAATAATGATAAATAATAATAATTGATATATCTGTTGCCCATTTCATTCAACACCCTGTTGAAGGTGTCTCATTGAGAAAGGAACATACATCAACAGTTGATAGAAAGTCGAGGTACTTTTGAATATAACAATTTCTTTTATATTCTTGGACAGAAAAAATCCAGGTCCGGATTAACGAAAATTCAATGAAGTGTTGTGTGATCAGAACAGTACAGCCTTTATCATCAAACTTTAGAAATTTACTCTCAAATTCGTGAAATGCGCAGAACTTCAAATTTAACAGATTATTCCTCATTTTTCCGCTTCTCTACTGTACTCGAATTTTGGCCTTCACTATTTTGTCCAGATTTGGATCAATAATAGTGAAATATTTTGGATTTTTGAGTTATGAAAGTATCTCGATGTGAACTGATTTCCAGTACACAGAACAGTCATTCCATTCCATCAATGTGTACCTATTCACAGGACCGTACCTACTTTCAATTTTCAAATTCCTTTCAACTTACCTATCTTTGACTTTCTCTATTTTTGTCTCTTGAATTCAGTAACACCTTGTATTTAGAACCAACTCGGTGACGTCTTTATCCATTGTAGGCGCATTTTCGCGTTTATTGACGAAACACCCTGTAGACATATCTTCCTGTATTCAGTTTAGTTGTCATTGTCTTCGAAGTTAGATACATTAAATAGATTATATTATGTAATATATGAAATGAAAGTTATGTATTATTTTTGATATTTTTCAGTTCGGCGTAATCGTAATGCTTGGAAGAAAATAATGTTCATTTGTACCTATGATTTGTTATTTATTTTTTACATTTTTATGCAGTGAACCATACTAGTCATTCAACTGGTTATTTGTAAATGTTGTATATTATTATTATTATTTATAAAATGTAATTAAGATTTTTTTTCGATAAATGATTAACGAAATGGCAAAGTATATTATTATTACCTATATTATATGTGACAAAGTCAATCAAAATATCATTCCTATACTTTCTGTCTTCAAGTACTACATTTGTAAGTCTATTTTTGATTTCTATTTGTAAAAAGGTACCTTTTTCATAACATTCCATCAAAAAAGTGATTGTTTTTTGGATTTATCAGAAATAATGTAACGAAAATGTATAATGAATGGATAAAATATATTGAAAATTATTACATTACCTTGAAAATATTTTCGATTTATTGCACCACCTTTCCCAACATATTTTATAATTTATTAGAGCACTCAGTCGAAATCGTCCAGAAACTTCCAGATTCAGTATGAGTATAACACTGTCAAGTGTCATTTCGTGAGTAGAATTCAAGATTCAATTCGCGGAAATCAATATTACCAGGTGGCGCTCGGTTTTCATCGTTCCATGTCAAAGCCACGTCAAAACTGGGAGAAAACAAATTCATTAGTGCCATCAATCAATCAATCAATCAAATAATTTATTTTCCATAACTGACAACATACATTGTATAGGAATAGTCAAAGATACTAAGAAACTATGGAACTTACGAAATAAAAAAAAAAAAAATAGAAAACTTACATACTAATGAGTGTATATGACAAATAGGAATATTACGTACACAAAAAATCGTTCACAGTATAAAAAACTGTGCCAACTAAAAATATTTTGACTTGTTTTTTGAATTCTGTTTCCTTTTCACAGTATTTTATTGATTCAGGTAATTTGTTGAATAATCTTGGCCCAATAAAGTTTGGCGATGAACTGGTAATATTCAATCTGGCAAAGGGTATCCGCAAGTTATTTTTTTGTCTCGTATTGAAATTGTGCGTATCATAATTTTTCGGTGTAACTTCTCTATTTCTATGGACAAATAAACATATCTCAAAAATGAATAATCCAGTCAGAGTTAATATGTTCAGTTTTTTGAAAAGATCTCTGCAAGAGTGTTGTCTTGGTTTTCCTGTTAAGCACCTTACAATTCGTTTTGCAATGAATATGTTCTTAGAATGTATGGAATTGCCCCAGAAGTTAATTCCATATCTCAAACGAGATTCCACCTGTGCATAGTAAAAGTTCATCAATTGTTCATGAGTCAAAAAAGTCTTCAAATTGTATATCAAGTAATAGAATGAGTTAAGTTTAGATGTTAATGATTCACAATGTGTTTTGAAATTTAAATTCTTGTCTAGTTCAATACCCACAAATTTCACAGTATCGCTGGTTACAAGTTGTTGACTAGATAGTTCGATAATGAAATCCTCACTGCTGTGACGTTGAGCTGTCTGAAATCTGACGATAGATGTTTTATCTGGATTGAATGATAATTTATTCGACGAGAACCATCTCATCAAAGACTCTAATATAAATTCACATTCATTTTGTAGGATATTATTGGATTTGTTCGAAATAATCAATGATATATCATCAGCATATAATGTGAAATGAATCCTAGGAAATATTGTACCAATTTCATTAATGTAGAGAAGAAATAGTATAGGGCCTAAGATAGAACCTTGTGGGACACCTACAGTGACTTCTGAATTAGAAGATGATGCATTTTCTAATTTATTCTGATTTTTATATGTTATGCTCACATATTGCTCGCGATTTCTCAAGAAAGATGCTTACCAATCTAGAGGTATGCCCCTCAAACCGTAGGAATATAGTTTATCTAGTAGTTTTGCATGATCGACACAGTCAAAAGCCCGACTAAGATCATTAGCATTGTGTACTGTGAACTGATAAGAGTGATAAGTTTTTAAATTTCTTGACATTAATTGTCAATATTCGATCGAAAACATTAATAATGCCTGTTGTAGATGTTCTTTTGGCAGATATTTTGCTCTATTTAGATGGAAAAAGCCGACCAGTAGTGGAAGGAGAAGCAGTTCTCGTGCTAATCATGTGATTTTGTGTGAGACAGAAGACTTCAACAAAAGGCACATTTTTGCACTTTGTCTACAAACTTCGGCGATGAAATCTTCCCCACATGAAGTAAAATTGCAGTTGGGGTCCAGAGGAAATCATGTATAAAAATGGATTTGTATTTGTTCATGCAAAGCAGGACAATCTGGGTATTGTTAACATATTGTAGCTGTTCTTTTATATGTCAATTGATTTGCTCGTCATAATTAGTTTGGATTGTTTGAACTATCTCCAATTCTTCACCCGTTCACTGTTCACTAAACTAATAAAAATGTAATAATGTAAGAAAATTAACCAACTCAACCATCATCACTACCAACAGTGCCAACACTTTATGTCGTTGACTACAGCTACAGCAAGCTGAATGCGATGTAGTCTATACACTTTATCCATAGATAACAGTTTGTTTTCCTCCAGTTTGAAGTTCGTATTATATAACCTAGATGTCGCCTACTTCGTGAATCTCGCGAATACAGTTTCCCTGGAGCTTTAGTAGAAACTGAGATATCCATACAATACGTGAATCACAATAAAAACAGTTCATTGAACCAGTATATGTATATAACCAGTAACGGCCGAGTCAATTCGAGAAAAAATACGTGAATGAATTTAGTTCCGCCAAAATCTCATTCGTTCTCATGACTTCAATCTCAGTCGATTGAGGTATCCAAGCGAGCACAAACATCCCTGGGATGTTTTGAAAATGTTGGCATGAAGATGTTATTTTGAGACGTAATATGCACTGACCAAAGAGGTCTTTGAAGGATATTGAAGTATTGTTTTTGTTCTTCTGTGGCATTTCTTTGTTTGCCTACTGAGAGGTATCCCTGGGATGTTTTAGAAATGTAGGCATGAGGATGTTTTTTTGAGGCGTAATATGCACTTCCAAAAGAGGTCTTAGAAGGATATTAAAAGTATTGTTTTTGTTCTTTTGTGCCCTTTCTTTGTTTGCTCCACCACAACGTTTCATGCTTACGTCACAATACGATGCATTCTGATTTGTTTTCGATTTTGTTCTTCTTGTTCGCAATTGGCATTCGCGTTTGCAGCGTGTCACGCTTACATCACGCTGCTAACGAACAGTAAGGAATTTGGTGAAGTTTATTGTGTTAGAAGACTTATTTAGTTTGTAATAATGACCATCAGATGCAAGATGTGTTGTTCGGTGCCTCAGTGTAATCAATATATAAAAGTACGAATTCACCAATACACAGCTTCTCCGCAGAAACCGATTAAGAAGGTAATTTCATATCAAGAAATATTTTTTTGTTCAATCTATTTTTAATGCATTTTTTCATTCAAGGGAAATGGAATCCTAATGCAAAAGTTCATTCTGACAAAAGGCTTCAGAAAAGTACCTCGAAAATGTTTTTTTTACAGCGATTTAATGTGCGCAAGACGCGTTGAAAATGTTCTGTTGTGTCCATGAAAAGGCTTCAAAACGAACTAGGGAGAAGGTAGTTTTGTGACATATCAAGGACATCTCGATACTTGCCGCCTGCGGCGGACATTGGCTGTTCTATAATAGTTCTATTCATGTGTGAACAGAACATCGCAGTGGAGGTTCAATGTCTCGAAATCTCGTACTCTGAGATGTTTTTGTGCTCGCTGGGATCGAGACATTTTATATGAAAGGTATCGCGAGAAAAGAAAATATGGTCAAGTAGCTACTTTTTTCCTATCAAAGCTGGAAAGTGTGCTTCCACTCCACAATAGGACCCTGTATACCCCAAATTTGGCCCTACGACGTAATTGATTTGTGGGTCTGAAAGAGAAACAATAAGGAATTTAAGAATCACACTCAAGAATTCAGTTTATTATCTACAAAAAATCGAAATCTACAATTGAAATTTCATTCACAATGCTATCCTCTCACTATCCTCATTTTCTTCTTCTGCCCTTTGATCATTCAATTTTCCGACATCAATATATCTTTCATGATCAACTTTCAATTTTTCTGGTGAAGGCGGGCTCCACAAAATACACCTGAATCAAAATTAATGAGAAATAAAAAACTATGAACTATTCAACACAAACCTCGAGATAAAATGCCCAGCCCTTTTTGGCCGCATTGTATTAACGTCTCTCACTAACGCTGCAAAGTTTTCTTCTAAATGCTTTGGATCCATATCGAGCTGAAAAGTGGATATTCATTGTACCAAATGACACGTTATGAATCGCCCACCACCCCCTGACCAATGACGGCTAAATGGACTGTCTGACGAGTACTACATGACTGTCCAATCACTCAGTTCAGTGTATTCTCCACCAGAGGGGTTTACTTGCCGTCCTTTGCGGAGAAGTCATTTGTTTAGCTGTTATTCGGTTGTTTTCCAATAACATAGGTTATATTGAATTATTATTATTATCAAGTGTCAAAACTGTGTCACTGTCAGGTCCCTGATGTGTTCTATTGAATATCGATAAATTCCTTTACTTTTTCGGATTTTCATTCAATCAAGCATTCTTCTTTGTGTTTAGTTCTGGTAGTTTATTTATTCAGGTTTGCTAGTTGTGTCTTCATCATGTATTTACAGCCTTCTAGCGTATAAAATGAAATGTATGAATAATCGTATCAAATATGGGGTTTGCTTTCTCGAATCTCATACCCAGTGATAAACTCCCACAGCAAGAATGGTCGAATTTTATTTTGGAAGGCATTGGTTCATTGGTAAGAATATGATTTTTCATGTACACTTTTCTGATGATTTTCAATTTTAGCCTCAATTCCACCATTAGAACACTGGTGTTAATTCTGGTGTTGAAGTTTGTGTCAATGATTTTGGAAGACACTATAGAGTGATGATCAATAGCACTACATATGGCGACTTATCAGGATGGGGACATACATTCAGAAAGGATCGCTCACCATAATTTTCAAGGTATGTTTAGTCTGCATTGTTTTTGCATAGCTAGGTAGGGTAGGAGTAGTATTGTTGAAAACTGTTTCATGTGAGCCTGATGGTTCAAGCCATCAATGCAACGTATTCAAACTTAAATTACCATATACCTACAGGATGGGCATCCCAAAAAGCAACACCAAGAATGAAAGAAGAATGGAATTTAAGGTATGCGCTTTGAATCCCAGAGAATCATCAGTCTAGGCCAACATCTGGAGTTTTTTCGAGTGTCACAACTACAATTTGAGGTATTTTGTGTTTCTGCTTCCTGGCAAATATCACAGAATAATGATACTATCAGAGATTTTCAAAAATGTTTTTCACTGCTGTGATGATTTTGTCACAAAAAATTTAAATTAATTATTTGGCCTAAGTTTATGTATATTATGTATGCCCATCTATCAATGAGATCCTGTATAGTTTTCTTGATAGAAGTATTAGATGGTATGTGAAATAAGAGGCCTGTTTGTTTGTATTGCTAAACTTGCTGAGGTTGATTTTTTTCCCATAGTTGTCTCTGTTCATAGCATGATGTAAACAGAAAAAGTCATAGAAAAAAATCAAGTTTAGCAGGCAAACCAAGCACAAACGAACATGCCTAAGGTAAAATGTCACTGATACTAGTAAGCCCACTAACTATAGCTTCCCCAAGTAGATCTAAAAAGATGAAAAGAGTGCAAACTCAACTTTTGAAATGCATATAACTATTTCTGTCTCCACAAAGTTTCGAAAATGGTTGAAAAATATGGATTGATAGATAGATAGATGATACGTATAGAAAGTATTTATTCAAGTAATATAATAATAATTTTATTCCATAGACAGTCACCATAATAAACAATTTCCTTTTCCATTAAATTAGCTTATGATGAGCTCATATTTGAACTCAAAACATGCTTCTTCTCTCTCTCATCATCTTCCTCTTTTATTTCCAGTGTCCAAAGGATCTCCAGGTAACCTAGCTTCATCCTCCAAAGTCAAGATCCCATATCCAAGCCGTTTTATATTTATTGTGTTGCCATCCCCGGAACCTAGAAAGAAATGTTGCTATAGAACATTTAATGATTTTGAAGCTGGCATAGTTCTATCAATTTTGCAATACAATTTATCTGTATATCTGAAATGAAATATATAAGTATGAAATGATAAATTGATATTCAATTTGCTATTCATGGAGATACCTGATATTGTAGTTAAAATGCCTGATTATTTTTCTGAACCCTCACCGAATTAAACAACTGTTCACAAAGCTCACCTTATAGTAAATATTCTGGTTATGCATAGATAGCATCATCAGAATTGAATGTCTCCAGTCATCATTCAATCAAACCTCATGAAGAGCTGCTTCAATATTGTGTTGAGAAAATTCAGTATCTTCCTGAAAATACAAATTAAGAAATATCACTTGAGATCACAGATTTTGTGAAACAATATGAAATGTTGCAGTACATTTCACTTTGAGAATACAGCAGTATCTGGCTATTAGAGCTACCATAGCTCTTATTAGGCAGTTGAAAATTCAATCAATGAAATAATTGAACATGTCCTTACCTATTCACGAATTGACGAAGATGATTTCCACTTGAATGGCATTATTATTTATTCATATAATAGCGTTATTTGGCATAAACACTCCTAACCACTTCATTTTGTTGGCCTTTTCACAGTTTTACTCTTGGTATCTCGAACAAAGCTCTCCAATCATGAGTGACAGGCTGACAGTGAGAAAATTTGTCAAAAAATAATGCAGGTTATGTTGAAAGCTCATTTGACACAGGAAATAGATGACGCCACTTGCCGTCCCTTCAAAATTTCATTACAGGGCGATTTGGAGATTTTCGCTGAATGAACAGTCATGTATAACCCGTCAGACAGTCCATTTAGCCGTCATTGCCCTGACACTTTCATTTTTGACACTTGCTGGTGCGGAATCTGCGTCATTAAACGGAATGGGTTGCGTGCAAGAACTGTCAGATGACCGACGCTGGAGGCACAACATTGAAACACAACCTCACTTTTCTTATTTGTTTCATCAATTCGCTCATGCCATCACATTGTGCTGTTGTAAAATGCACAAAAACTGCAGCGGAAGATGAAGGAATCCGGATGGTACATTATGATTTAAAAGTAAGTACCTACTATAGTCACTCACATATAGTTTTCATTTTTGAAATTTGGTTATTTCTCTGATTTCTCATCGGAATTCCTTCTGCAATATAATGCTATTAAAAATACGCCTGAAATTTTTAAAATAATGCAAGAAGATTGGATTCATGCAATCAATCGGGAGGACTGGTCTGACATGCTGACGATCGTGTGTGTTGTAGACATTTTCAATCTATTAGCAGTATTAGCTTGTATTGAAGAAGTGGCAGAAGGCAGAATGAATTTTAATAAGGAATGATAACATTTCATAATGATAACTATGTGAGATTACTATTTACCTGAAAAATCATATTCCTTAGTCCATTGCTGCATTTTTGTGCATTGTACAACAGCACAATGCGAAGGCATTCTTGAATTAATGAATAGCGCAAGAAACACGATTCGTATGCCAAAATATTGTGAATCTGAGTGAAAAACTATATCAATCCTTTGATTCCTCTGTAAACAAATAAAAAAGTGAGGTTGTGTTTCAATAATTCACAGAAGAGTGAGGTTGTGTTTCAATATTTTGCCTCCAGGGTCGGTCATCGTGCACGCGACCTATAGTGGTGGCGTAATCCCGTGACAGTCATATCAATGTTGCCGGATTATGCTGATTTTCTTCAACTTAAGAAAGTACTTCAATGATTTTGAACTGACAGGATAACCCAAAAAAGAAGAAAATGGCGTACGTACTTCCCAGACTAGGCCGGGAAGTATCACATCGTTGTTGTCACTGTAACTATGAAAATCTTGGTAGATATGGTTTCGATAAATGCAGATGATAATAGCCATAGCAGCGAAATATCGGCTGACAGCTATTTGACATGAAATTAGTTGACATTTTGATTTTTGAAAGTTTGGTTGCAATTATCGCAATAAACTATCGAAAGCAGCTGCGATAGTGAGTTTGAAAATGTCCATACGAAATTTCTAATGTAACAGTTAGTAGGTATAGGTATTCTGTTAAAATTTCAGTATTTGATACAAATGAGAATTAATAAAGAAGAAATTGTATTCCACAAAGAAATATAATATGGAAATGTGTCTCATTGATTTGTTATTCTACATGGTGCCCGAACAAATAGTGTAAACAACACGTACAAAAAGAGTTTTTTTGGACTCGCAGACTTCCAGGACTCGCCTACGGCTCGGCCTAGTATTTTGTCTACTCGTCCAAAAAGACAGTATTTTCCGACTTGTTACGTAAATTACTATTGTCAACACTTTTTCTCAACAGTAAATGCCTCCACAGTACTTTTTTCAGGAAGGAAGGAAGGAAAATATCCCCGTGCATAAAAAAGGACACTACTTTTTTCAAAGTCTCTAACCTTACTCAGCCTAAATGAACCTTCTGCCTAAAAAGACAGTAGTTTTTTCCAGGAAGGCAGGAAGATATCCATCCTGCATAAAAAAGAACACTAATTTTTTTTAACCATCTAACCTAAATCGGCCTAAATGAACCTTCTTCCTAAAAACTATACTTTTCGGAAAATCACTTGAGAAAACAGAATTTAAAAAAAGCCGACCGGCGCAGGCATCGAACCCGAGTCGCCGACGTGGAATCCAAACGCACAGTCAACTACGCCACGAGTCGTAGTAACTATGGTAGTATGAAGAAAGAATTTAGTGGCTGTACCCGCACTGGCCTCGGTGATTTATATTTGTTACCACTTGTCTCTAGGAGCTAATATTCGGCTCGCACTACAAGCTTAAGTTTTACACTGGTCCATCGGATATTATCTTTAGAGGAGGCGAAATATTCTCGGAAGTATCGACGCTCTGCCACTAACTTGGATCGGTTTGATCGTGGCATGTTTGGATATTCACAAAGGGGACATTATTTCCTTTCATTTGCTCTCTGTTTCAACTTGTTATCACATGACGGAAGTATGTGCGTAATAATAGTAGCAAATGAATCGCTCTGCCCTGAATTTGGCTCGGACTGAGTTGTGGTACAGGTAAGTTTTTGAAATCTACCATTCAATTGGTATTGAATGATATAATTCTTATCTTGTTATCAAATCGCGAAATTGAGTGCAAGTTTCCGCACAGGAAAGTGCAATTTTTCATTCATTTTGCTCAGGATAGTGATTGGCACAGGTGCCTTTAGATGAAAAACAATGTTTTACATGCCCTTGGGACATATATCATTTCATTATCAGAAATTTGCAACCGGCTCTTGGACTATAAGAGCGCATACGGAAGCCGGTCAGGGACACAGTGTTGCCAGGTCTGGCGATATATCGCATTTTCTGCTACTCTTTTTTGTGAAATGCGACATTGAATTGAATTTGGAGACTAGTGTCAATTGTGGCGACATTTGGAAATTCACAGGAGATTTATTGCCGACATGTGATGATGCGACAATCATTGGTAACAATCAAGTTTTTTGAATAGGTAACATGTCAGGATTCACTACGGAAACGGAACCGGTCTGTCGGATCATCTCCATCTTGGTTTTCTGCATTTCACATTTTCAAATTTTTGCCTACCCTGACATACTCACAGTGCCAATAACAGTTTCTATCGCCCCGAAGTCCTTTTCGTATTCGTCTTTGATCGCCGAATAGTTGATGCCGTGCAAAAACTGCTCCACCATGTCCTTCATATCGACGCCTAAAGTGCCCAATTTGGGGTTGGGGAATCTTCGCTTCATCAAACCGCGCAGAACGACTAGTTCGGGCAGGATTTCCGGATGTGCGATGATGAATTTGAAATCCTAATTGAGAAAAATAATGGAAATCAAGTCATAACATCATACATATTACAATCCAAGGCAGCATCAATTTTCACATTGATCAACAAGAAGAACCCGAAGAAACCCATTTTCGGGTGTATGTCATATGATTTTCAATATCAATCAATTAAATTGATTGTCAACGCTGACAGAATCAGTGGACGTGAACATTTCAAATGGTGTTATCAGTTCCTATTGAAAGGAGTTTCGAAATCTCTCGATATCGCCTACTTTATTCGCAGGAATTAATGTTACCAGGTAGCGCTCAGTTTTCATCGTTCCATGTCTAAGCCACGTCAAAACTGGGGGAAAACAAACTCAATCCCATTAGCTTGTGTACTGTGTACTGATAGTACTGATAAGACATAAGAGTGATAAGTTTTTAAATTTCATGACATTAATTGTCACTATTCGATCGAAAACGCCTGTTGTAGATGTTCTTTCGGCAGATATTTTGATCTATTCAGATGGAAAAGGCCGACTAGTAGTGGAAGCAGAAGCAGATCTCCGTGCTAATCATGTGATTTTGTGTGAGGCAGAAGACTTCAACAAAATGCACATGTTTGCGCTTTGTCTACAAACTTCGACGATAAAATCTTCCCCACATGAAGTACAATTGAAGTTGGGGTCCAGAGGAACTCCTGTAGAACAATGGATTTGTATTTGTTCCTGCAAAGCAGGACAACCTGGGTATTGTAAACATGTTGTAGCTGTTCTTTTATAAGTCAATTGATTTGCTTGTCATGTCATATAGTTAGTTTGAATTGTTTGAACTATCTCCAATTCTTCACCCGTTCACTGTTCACTGAACTAATACAAATGTAATAGTGTAAAAAAATTAACCAACTCAGCCATCATCACTACCAACAGTGCCAAAACTTTATGTCATTGACAAGTTTGACTACAGCTACAGCAAGCTGAATGCAATGTAGTCTATGCACTTTATCCATAGACAACAGTTTGTTTTCCCCCAGTTTGAAGTTCATATTATGTAACATAGATGTCGCCCACTTTCCTGTGATAATAGTTTATACTCACTTTTGGTACATAAAATAAAATGAATGTTCGGATTTTCGAATAATCTTCACACATTGCAGCAGTCATTCCATGATGAAAGTAAAATTCACTCACTTGACTAATGATATAATATCAATACCTGCTAAATAAACTACTGATGCTCTCAATTTATAATATTTCTATTCAAAATTTGAATAAACTCTCGAATATAAAAATGCAACTGTTATTTCTGTCAGAGTAGGTATTTATTTTGTTTCATTTCACATTTTTTACTATCAATGGAATCATTTATTTCCTTCCATTTTCCGCTATAGTCAATTATAGTAGTTATTGAGTGTTTATATTGTTTCAAAACTACCCAGATAAAGCTTCAATATTCCTATATTTTTTCATCACTTGTCGAATCTAGTACGATCTATTACAATTGCGTACTAGATTTTAGTAGGAAAGATCACTACTAAAAACCCAAAGCGCTGGATTCTTGGCCAGATAGCCTAGTCAACAAAAGCAAATATGAAAAAATAATGAGAAGTGAACGCTCCCCATTCTAGGTTTAGGTTCAAAATTTGAAATTTGTTGTGGACTAGAGACCTAGAGAGATGAAGATAATTATTTGGATATGAATAGTGAAAGATGTGACCACATACTATAGGAGCCCAGAGGAAAACAACTCTGAAACAACAACACTCTGAAATTTCAACTACTTAAATACCATTTTCAATGCATTAAATAAGCTTGGATATGCTCTCAAGTACTTCATGTATTGAGTATTCAAAATATGGTCATTTAAATCTGGCTTTGAATAATTTAATACACATTTTGGGAAGTTGTTTCCCCTTGGATAGGAGTGGAGCCCCCTTATTAAATCTCTATTATTTATAAACTATATAATTGTTCTGTTCACCAGTGTTGTATGACATAAAGCATCATGCATCAGAGTCGGTATTTATTTTGTTTCATTTCACATTTTTATTATTAAAGGAGTTATTTATTTCCTTCCATTTTTCATTATAGTCAATTGTAGTAGTTCAAAACTGCCCATCACTTGTCGAATCTAGTACGATCTATTACAATTGCGTACTAGATTTTAGTAGGAAAGATATCTACTAAAACCTCAACGCTGGATTCTTGGCCAGATAGATTAGTCAACAAAAACAAATATCATGAAAAAATAATGAGAAGGAACGCTCCCCATTCTAGGTTTAGGTTCTAAATTTGAAATTCATTGTGAACTAGAGACCTAGAGAGATGGAGATAATTATTTGGATCTAGGAGCCAGTATGAAAACAACTCTTAAAATAGGTGTACACTCTGAAATTTTAACTACTTAAATACCATTTTCAATGCATTAAATACACTTGGATATGCTCTTAAGTACTTCAAGTAATAGTATTGAGTATTCAAAATATGCTTATTCAAATCTGGCTTTGAATAATTTAATACACATTTTGGGAAGTTGTTTCCCCTTGGATAGGAGTGGAGCCAGCTTATTGAATCTCCATTATTTATAAACTATATCATTTCCTTGTTCACCAGTGTTGTATAACATAGAGCATCATGCACTTACTGATTATTAAAAAAATATAAAATAATAATAAAAGAATTTCATAACTACCTCAATCTCAAAAACTCATTCTTGTTCAGTCAAAATCATAACTCCCCATAACTCTATATGAAATCTCTACCAAAAATTTAAATTCATCAAAAAATAGTATTACCTGCAAGTTGATTTGACCATTCTGTATTTGTTTAATTAATTCAACTCCTCCAGCAAGAAGAGCCCCAGCATTAGCAGCCTCTTGCTGTAGTTCTGGATTTTTAGTAAAAGCTAATATAGCCCTTTCTTCATTCTGGTCAAATTTGTGAGGAATACCAACTATTCTGGTGAAATTGTCAACAAATCGAGTCTGCAATTTGAAAAATTGATAACATACCCATTGTCTTTGAGAAGTAAAATGAAAAATTCAAAATATAATAACCTGCTTTTCCCCAATCATATTTAATTCTACAGTCAAATGGAGTGGGGCATTGGGTTTGTTATACATATCAGGGTGATGAGTTTGTCTATGACATTCCACTGCTTCTGTGAATGGGTACACTATCCATTTATAGTATTTGGCAACAAATACATTGTCAATAGGATCTCTTCTCATGGAATCATCGAACTTTCTCTTTTCACGTTTCATCAAAAACCTACAGAAAGGATTCTAGTATTTCAATCACAGCAATATTAGTCACTTAACTGTTCCCTATTTCTTTGATTATGGGGAATGAATCCAACTTTTTGTTCAACAACTTTGGACTTGGCTTTCGCAGCTGCTTTCTTCTTTCTTTCTCTGGTACCTTTCCTGGCTGCATAGTGTCTTGTTTGTAGGAAAGATGAGGATTCCAGTACTGATTTGGGTAGACTATTGTTGCAAACATTGGTTATTCCATGTTGCAACAACCCTGTAAAGGAGTTTTTAGATCAGGATCACATTTACATAATTTCGCTGTCTATTGAACTCACTGAAAGTTGGAAGGAGCATTTCGAGAACTTTCGATGCGAAACACTACAAAAAAATCAAAAAAGCAAAATCATGAATTTTGCCTCAAAATTGAGGTTAAATTCAGATTCCAGATTCTTTGAAAAATCTCCCCCAAATTCTCCAGCCAGATGTTCTTACTGTTCTTACTTATGGTAGTGATTAGCTATGTTGGCCATTAGCCATGTTAGCCGATTGCTTCAATAGCCGCTTGCTATATTCTTCTTCTGAATTTATGTTAGCTTGTCCCTTGTACCTTATGCCAGTCAAGCCTCAAGCCATCTTCCATCTTCTACCTTCTACTCTTTCATGTAAATGCCCGGCTCTAGGCAATGCCACTCAATGAACTCAAAACTCAATATAAATATTGAGTTCATTGATGCCACCACACTTAGATCATTCCTGTATGATCTAAGCCACCACAAGATAGCGGCCGCAAACCTTGAAAATTCAGATTATACAGAATAATATTAGTAATCACATATTATTATGATCTTTTTACCTACCTGTTTCTATTTATTACCTACATTTGCAATCAATTATTATTTTCAATTCGAATCTGTTTATTCCGGTTATTCTCAATCTAAAATGTACTACGGTAGGTATATATAGTAGTATATAGGTACGGCATAGACTTACTTCCTGCAGTGGCGTAGCTATCAGGTGAGCCTGGGGGATCAAACGCTCATCCACGGCGCTAAAGTATATAAAGGGGGTGAGGGTGGTTTCAACCCTTCTACAATTTCTTCTGGGTTTGTTTGATTTCCGAAAGGAGGGTATAAATCCTCTAAAATGCACTTTTGTCAAATTTCATCCAATATTTGTTTCACTCATTTTTGAACAGCCGCTACAAAAATATGTTTTTTATGCAAACTTATTTGAACTCTCTCACGGATAAACAGTACGTTTTTTCATACCAATCAACTTATTTCGAACAGTATTACCATCAGGTGGTAGCTCTGTCTCCCAGCAATTTTGCGACACTCTCTGTATATATCCTGAAAGAAAAATACGCGTTCACGAGGCGAGAAGGTTAATTTTTTTTAATTGAACGTACACTAGCATACAATTTTCTTAATCGATAGGAAATTCGATCCTGAACAAAAACTCTCCCATGATCTTTTATTCTAATCTAACTATCGATGAATTTTTCAAATATGTCAGAGTGATTGGGTTAGTCGAGGATGGTCGATACAATAACTTGTCGTAAAGCTCTGATGCCTTCCAGTGACGTACGTTGCGTCCGAATTTTCTCAAAAATTATGGTTCGTTGGAAAATACCCCTTCTTTCAACATCTACCTCTTATGCTTTGATTCAAATGATCGGAGATGCAATAAAAACATGAATTGGAGAATATTTATGATAGGTACTCTGATAAAGAATGATTTAGGAGTTACGCAACAGAATTTTGAAATCTATTCATATCGAAAACCGTGATCGAATTGTATCGAAACTGTATAAAGAGTTTCACTTTTGAGTAAAAATGTTGAGATTTTCATATTTCCTGGTCAAACGTTGGTATGAACAAAATAGTAGTTTACCTAACAAGTGCTGAAAAGTAAACGGTTTCGCTCTGAAATGAATGCGGAAGAGTTTGTTCCGCACTATTGCGGAAAAGTGACTTTTTCAACATTGAAATGAGTGCGAAAAAGTAGACTTTTCTGGACGCTAGTAGAAAAATGTTAGTTCTACCTATTTCCCATGCCTCTGATGATCAAATTTGGTTATTTTATCACAGAGAGGATTTCGAAAATATTAACAAAACTTATAGGTGCATCTTGAGCTCGCCTTCAGATGGCTATAACCCTTTGAGATGCCAATTTTGAACCCATGTTTATACAGGGTGGGTCATAACTATTGGGACAAACGCTAACGTAGGATAGGGCCAAATATGCCTCAATCAGATACATCGTTGTGGAAAAAGATACGAGACGTTTCAATCGAAAAAGTATTGACTATAAACTCTCACCAAAATTCAAAGAAATTTAATTCACCAGCAACAATCATCGGACAGTCCAAAAAGCACACTCTTCATAAATTAAATAATATTTTGAATCCCCTTCCGAGACTTTGACCTGTTCGATTGCGTTTGATGAAAATATCAGGAGTAACCAATACTACGTAGAAATGATGTTTATGTCATATTTTCTAATCAAAATCACTGAAAAGTTTCGTCAAAAAAAGTTATCAGTCCATTTCCTTATCAGGAATCATTTATATATATGGCACCCCCATGTAACAAACTGTAGAATAATATATAAAATAATATTTCCTGTATAAAATTATGCCTCTCTGCCACTTTTGATAACAATTGACAAAAAGACATTGAAATTATTAGCGAAAAAAAAATCTACTTCCAGGCCCTGAATCTTTTTCGACGCCCTGTATCTTTTTCCACAGCAATATTCAGTCCTATCGCCATATTTTCCAAACAATCCGCCTTATTTAGCCGACATATAGTTATGACTCATGCACCCTGTGTATACACATTTTTATGGGTTGAAATATGTCTATGAAATTTCGGGACACCCTGATGTATACCTGCGCCTACGAATCCCATCACCAACCATCACCAAAGATACGAGATAGTAAGAGCACTATCACAGCCGTCTTCAATAATTGAAGACGGCTGTGGCACTATGGTAAGAGACAATCTAAACGTCACACGCTAATAACCTACCTCTATAGAGGTCTGGAGTCTAGACTCTAGCCAGCTTTGAATTGAAATTCCCACCACTCCCACCCATGTTGTACCATGAACCCAACCCAACTGGTCGGCTCCGAACAGAACCTTACGGCACACATCGACATGGCAAGTCACAGTAGACACTGTGACCTGCGATAGGTCTAGTGGGTCTAGGCGACGAGCGTGGACAAACGAAGATCGCGATCTCGAAACAAACGAGCAACGTGGTGGACTGAAAACGGGGGTTCTAGGTCAAGAAACGCGAACTAGTCTAGAAATGCTAGAAAAGCCGGCTTTTTACCTGAATTACCTGCCTAAAATAGTTGGTGTGGACGTTTTCCTAAAACGGTTCCTTATAGTGCAGTGAGTGGCAGTGGTTTTGGTCAGTTTCATGAACTAGTCTGAACTAGAACTGAGACGACTTAACTATAGCTTCAAGAGAACTCTCAAGAAAATTTAGCTAGCGAACTTCAAAGAAAGGTAAAACAAAAAATAGCATATATCATAATATCTACATGAAAAAATATGAAAAGAGCCGAAATATGTTACGAAGGAATAACCCATCAGGCGCGTATACAGCTTTGTTCCATGAGGGGGGGGGTTAATCCGTGGCGCGGGGGTGATAGAAAATGAAAAAGCGCCGCAGGCGAATTTTTTTATTCAAGGTCAAATACCTTTAAATTCATAGTTAGATTTGTCAGTTACCTATAGGTATCAAAAAGGTGGGAAAATTAAGGATGTCAAATTCAGTGTGATTTATTTGACATGAAAAACGAAAAGCATAGTCGAACAAACAAGCAATGACACCTTCCAATAAGAGAGAAAATGAGATCGAGTATTATGGAATGTATTCAAGAAATAATAATTTAACCAGATTAACATAATTATGCATTCTGAAACTTGGCAGAATTAACTTTAACTTTTACATATATATATATATATATATATATATATAGAAAACTATGTTTTAGGAAAACAGCTAAATCTCTATTTTCCTTGAGGTTGCAGTCAAAGGGAATGGCCATTCCCTTTGACTGCAACCTCAAGGAAAATAGAGATTTAGCTGTTTTCCTAAAACATAGTTTTCTTCAACTAGTCCAGTCAGGAGACTACCCTTTCACTATATATATATATATATATATATATATATAGGTAACTTGAAACGAAGACAAATCAGGTAGGTATAGAAATCACATCAAACAGGTACTCAAGTAACCTATTTACATAGGTATCTCGAAGCAAAGAAAAAGGAAAATCAAGTTTACAAATTAAATAAATAACAGTAATAACACAAATCAATCAGGTACCGGAGTCCCAAGTCTAATACAGATTATAGGCATTTTTCAGTTTTAGGAAGAAATAGATTTACGCGTTGAATGAAATAAAATTCATTCTCTGAATCTCAATGGTAATTTTCAATGAAACTGAATTTTCTTCGATCATCTGGGGGGTAATTACCCCCCCCCCCCTTGTATACGTGCCTGGAATAACCCATCACGTAATGTATTGAAATTCGTGTCATTTGGTCATTTTTTGCAAAAAATCCATGGATGCCGAGTTTGTTCAGAGAGAGGAAAAAAAAAGCGAATGCCATGCGTCCGCGATGTCTTGATTCGATGTAAATATGTTAAGGACATATTGTTGGGATAAAAATACGACTTTTTCTTCATATTATACACATGTGTCCTAGAATTCACCACCTCCAAGTTACAGCCACTGTGGGTTAGGTAAAGAAAGAAGATATTCTGAAATTGTGACTAGAATAACGGATCAAATCTTATGAAAATTGGTAGGCCCCTGTCCTCTTAGACCAAGGGGTAAAACGCGGTGGAATTCTGGTGTACAAACAACTGTAATTCCTCGGAATTTCCTGGATTTCCTTGGAATTCCTTGAAATTCCTAGAATTTCCTCGGATTTCCTTGAAATTCTTTGGATTTCCTTGAAGTTCCTTGGATTTCCTTGGAACTTCTTGGATTTCCTTGAAATTCCTTGGGTGGAGTGCGGTATATTCCGGAGTTCCTTGTATTTCCTTAGAATTCCTCGGATTTCCTTGGATTTCCTTGGAATTCTTTGGATTTCCTTGGAATTCTTTTGAATTCCTTGAAATTCTTTGAATTTCCTTGGAATTCTTTGGGTGAAGTGTGGTATAATTCTGGTGCACAAACTACTGGAATTCCTTGAATTTTCTTGGAGTTCCTTGGATTTCCTTGGAATTCCTTGGATTTCCTTGAAAATTCTTGGATTTCCTTGGATTTCCTTGAAAATTCTTGGAGTTCCTTGGAATTCATTGGAGTTTCTCGAAATTCCTTGTGTGAAGTGCGGTATAATTCTGGTGTGCAAACAACTGGAGTTCCTTGTGAAATTGAAGTTTGGTGTACACAATTTTTACCGCGGTTTACCCTTTGTTTTAGACACTTTATTTCATTATTTCTTGAAATTTTATGTGAACCCAGTTTTGGAGGGGGGTTGGAGGAGGACTTCATTTTTATTGGCGAAATGGCAACCCTGGTCCGCGCGGAGAGTGTGTTGACAACAACTGTCATTTGCTGTAGTCAAATTAATAATTCACGAAATCTGATAGATTTCACTTTGAATAGGACCGTGATGTGGATATACCTAATTAGTGTTTGAGGTCGTCGAAAAAATTTAATATGCACCTTGGCGAGAAACAGTCTGTTGTCTCGCCTAATTGCTAGCCTCGACTATCAATTTGCAGATTCGACTATAATAGACAGTTTCTCGTCCTTGGTACAGGGTGATTCACTATAAATGTCCCCCCCTCTAGCTCACTTACTTTTGAACTGATTTAAAAATTTGAAATATCATCTGAAATGATTTTTCAGAAATTTTTTCCCGTTGCATCAAAAAATACAGGATGCTCGGAACAAACGATCTACAGAGTACTACTTGATTTTTTCAAA